CGTTTCGTTGATTTTTTATAATTATTCTTTTTTTAATGAAGCTACAAACGTTTAGGATTTTAGTGAATATTTTTGATAAGCCAATCAGAAGAGGTGTAGAGCGAGCTGAAGTTGGTTCCACAACGACAGTGCTCCCAGGTGACACAGGAGCAGAAGAAGGAAGCCTTCCCCAAACAATGTATTCTTTTCGGGGTAGCAGTGTAACAGCCTGCTGTAATGTCACAGTACCCACCTTATCTGGTACCTCTGGGCTCAGCCACCGAGAGGTGCAACTCAGCAACTGGAGGAACTGTTCACAATCAGGGTCAGTTGTATGAGAGGACACCATCTCCCAGTATTTCCCATCAGATTTCATCTTTTGGATCACTGGTCGAAGCACATTTGTGCCAATAATCAACTCATCCCTCTGCCCAGGAACAAGGAACATCGGCACTAGACACTTAAGACCGTAGAGCTCCATGTTCAGCTCATAAATGCATTTAGGCCGTGTAATAAGTCCACTACAACCAACAAGGACAACTTTATCAGGGACAGGTTGTGGAGACAGGACAACACCTGCCGCTCTCAACTTAGCCTCTCCCATTTCACTAAGTGTACATGACATGCTGCCTGAGTCCAGCATCCCTCTCAGTGATGTCTGGCCACCAATCAACACAGGAGCATAAAACAACTCACTAGCTTCCTGAACTCTTTGTGAATCAACCAAAATGATTGTTTTCTCTTCGGGGAAGCTTTTACAACAGTCAACATACACATAACAGAATCAGTGAGGGTGTTTGTTACATTGCCCATGCTGCCCCTCTCATCACACAGGCTGGTCAGTTTAAATCAACATGTGAAGCAGCATTTGAGGATCTCTGTCCCACTGCCTGCCTGCAGTCACGTTTCACATGTCCTGGCTCAAAACAGTGAAGACATAACCTGAATAGTCTGCAGTGTGAATGTGTGGAGTGTTTGCTGGATCCACAAACTCGACATCCTTGGGGCTGTGTGCGCCGAGAAACCTGAGACCGGCTTGCTTTCTGGTGACCAGTAGCTAGTGACGCATTACAAAGAGAGGACCTTGTCAAACATGGTCACCATCTGTTGAGCAACAGGTTCAGTAGCGATAACACTGGACACCCCAGTGGGCTGCTGGGTTGTCATAAGGTTTTGCGATGTATCGGCACCGTTAACAGCCTGTGTATTTGCCACTAAGCCCTTGACCTTCCTCACACGATCATCCAGGCGCTGCTGAACCTCAGCTGCCGTCCACTGTTCTGGTGGTTTCATTTGAAATGACAAGGAAAGGCTGGGGTCAGGACAGTGGCTGATGAATAACCCTCTGTGGATTCTTCACAGAACAAGTCAGGAAATAAATAATAACACTATTAATGAAATAAATAATAACCAAATAACCCTCTCTGGGTTCTTCACATCCCCGTCTCCTCCTCTTCTGTCTATAAACAGAAAAAGAACTGCCAATAAACCAAATAATTTGTCAGTTTTCATTGTTTTAAGAAAAGGTCAGAATCATTGTTTTCTTTCAATGATATAGAAATGGACTAATTCTATATCATTGAAAGAGAGCTAACACCAGGAGTTCAGTTTCGTTTTGTATTTGTTGTGACAGTTTAATTGAGTTGAACAGCTATAACCACCAAGGCTTAAAGTGAACATAAGGACACCCAAGAATCAGCCCTGAACTCAAATCCAAATCCAGGATAAAGAGGTTCAGTGAATTTGGTGTTGAAGGTGTAGATGTGGATCAGTGTGTCTGAGGAGACTCTGTAGAAGGACAGAGTCCCAGCAGGACAGTCCACATACACAGCTACTCTGGCAGAGACAGAGGAGGAGGAGACAGGGATGAAGGCTTTTCTATGATTGTGCCAAACAGTGTAACCATCATCTGAGCAGATTAAACTCCAGGAGTGATCATTAAATCCAAACCAGGAGTCGTCATTGTCTCCTTGTCTTCTTATTCCCCTGTAACTCACTGATATGTCAACCCTCCCACTCCACTCAACCTCCCAGTAACAGCGACCAGTCAGACCATCAGTACACAGCAGCTGATAGAGGTCAAATCTGTCTGGATGATCAGGATACGGCTGCTCCTCTTCCACACGCGTCACCTTTTTATTTTTATCAGAAAGTTTGAGGAATCTGTTTACAGTGTTAAGGTCGACTGTTGGTGGACAGGAATCTGAAAAACAGAACAAACACAATGCAATTACTGATGTAAAACATTTATGAATTATTTGGCACAACGATGAACATAAATGAGACAGTTTGCTATGAATCAAAAAACACTTACACTTCCTCAGACCTGGTGTCATCCATTTGTCTTCTGCAGGCTCCATGCTGTTAGAAAGAAGGCATTTAAGATTTATCATTTTAATTTTTAAAACCAGAAAATATTATAAACTGATTTGGCCTAATTCAGTACAAATACTGTTTTTCAACAGGTTACTGCTCTGGAGACCATAAAAACAAATGCATTCTTCCCTACTATCACATCTGTGAATACTAAACAAACAATTCAATTAAATTAAAAAATATCTTATTGATTCCAAAGGGAAATTAAATATTAGTGCAACCTCTTCCCAAGTTGGGTTTTGGTACAAAAGCATTGAGGGCTACTGGAGTATTTACAATTTGGATAATACAAATTAACACTAGTGTTCATGATCTACTTTTGAAATGTTAGGACATTGATAGAGCAAAGTAGTGAAAAGTCCATCCAAAAAGGTCATTGTGAATCTTATAATAAAGTCTAACGGTAGTAGGTATCAGAATTTCATATGTAAGGAGTAGAGGTGTGCCGATCGATCGGTCACCGATCATAATCGGGCCGATTTCCGTGAAAAAGTGCATGATCGGTGATCGCCGATCACGGTCTCTTGTTGCCGATACCGATCATCTAATTTCCCAGCCTGCCTGTGCAGCTGGTCTCCTCTTTTCTTCACACTGCGTAAACGCGCAGCAACAAATCCTAAGCGATGTGGAACTATATTGCACTGAGCGAATGGGGAAGTTTGCTGCGTGTTGC